CAGGGTCTCCATCAAGCCGCCGGGGCTCCAGTCGGTGTCCCCTGGAAAGGAAGGGGGAGGGCGTGGGTCCCCGGTGGCAGGGCCGGCAGCTTCCACCCCACAGCCCCAGCCCCTCGGTCCAACACCTTCCCCCCAAGAGGCAGGAGAAGGGCCAGGCCAGCCGGACGGAGGGGGTGCCCCCAGTTGGTCAGTCGGCCATTTTCAGTCTCCTGGGTCACCGCGGATGGGCATGGATCAGCCTGGCTCTGCCTCGCTCCTGGTGGGCCCGGTGGCCCATCCCGGCCACCTTTGGCCCACTGGTCCTCCTCCTTTGCCTTTCACAGAAGTTGCCCTCCATTGCAGCCCCCCCACACACACACAGACACCCTGTGGCCTCTCTGCTCATGATGCCCCAGCCCAGCCCCTGGACTCCAGGGGGGCCCCCCAACGCTCACCCCCTGCTCCAGGTCGGCCGTCCTTCAGGGACCCCCTCATGAGCAGGCGGAGGGGGACGCTGCTCGCATCCTCCTCTTCCTCCTCTTCTGTGGCCTCCTCTTCCTCTCCCTTTCCGGCTTCCTTCAAGGAGGAAGAGGGAGAAAGAAAGAAGGCAGCCGCCCCCCTCCGTGAGCCCTAGAGAGCAGGGCGGGCTGCTGTCATGCCCCCAGGGCACGAGGGAAGATAGGGGAGCAGGTGACTGAGCTCCCCCCCAGGCAGAGGGGAAAGCCCAGGGGGGTCAGGGACCACCTCTTCCCCTGCCACTCCGATTCTCTGGCACGGAAGTGTCAGGGAAGCCGGCCGGATCTCGGCCAAAGGGTTCCTCCAGAAGGCACCCCAACGCCCGGAGCCGCTCCTTACCAAGCTCGGGGTCTCCGTGGGTGGACCCCGAGGCACTGCCGGGGCCCGGACGTCCTCTGCTTCTTGGGGCATAGGGCGCGCTGGCCGGAGAGAGAAGGTGTCAGAGCCTTCAGGCTTGGCCTTTGGGGGCTCATGTCCCCCTCCCCGCCAGGGCTTAAGGAATGATGGAGAAGCAAGGTGTCCTCTGAGCACGTGGAGAAGGCTCTTTGGTCAGCACTGGGAGATGCGCCCTTGGGGGGGGTATGTGTGCCTCTGTGAATCCTTCTCTGTCTCAGCTCTCTCTCTCCCCCCCGCTCTCTGCTGCTGCTGCCTTGTCCAGGGAAGAATCATCCTCCTGGCGCTACTCACCTGTCCGCGACTCCCAGCAGGAACCCCCTCCGAAAAGTACCCGGGTGGCTTTCTGGAAGAATTTCCGCAGCCGATTTGGCAGGACGAAGAAGGGGGTCGAGTGGCACGCTCGGGAGGAGAGCCGGGCTGGAGTGAAGCCCTGCAAAGTGGGGGCGAGGGGGGCAAGAAAGCCATTTGGAGAAGTGGGCTCCCCCTTCTTTCCCCCTTCCCTTTGCCTCCCCAACCCCACAAAACCCATGGGCAGAAGAAAGGAGCCCCTACCTGGGTGAAAAAGGGGTGGCGGAGGATCTCCTCCAGGCTGGGCCGGGCGGCCGGGTCGGGGGCCAGCAGCTTCCCAATCAGGTCCCGGGCATTCGGGGAGAGGTGGCTGGGGACAGGGTAGCACCCCCTCCCGGATTCACCGGTACATCTCTGGCTGGTGGGTGATCTCAAAGGGGGAGTACCTGGTCAGGGCCGTGTACCTGGTGGTGGGGAGGAGGAAGAGGAAGGTGAAGCTCAGTTCCCCCCCCCAAAAAAACCCCACTACCCCCCTGCCCTGAGGCTGTGCCTTCTTCCCGATCCGGAGGGAGCGTCCGGCTCCTCTTCTCGCTCACGTGATGCACCCCAGAGCCCAGATGTCCGACTGGAAGGAGTGGCCCTTCTTGGCGATGACCTCAGGGGCCAGGTAGTTGGGGGTCCCACAGACCACTTTGGGGAGAAGGGAGAACCAGCGCCGTCACACCAGCCCACCCCCCTCCAAGGAGAAAAGCTTGGCAAGAGTGTGTCTTTCCACTCTGGGAGGGCAAAAGCGGCTTTCCATTCCCCCACCGCGCTCCCCAAAAGGCTCACCCTCGCTTCCGGCCGGCCTGCTCGGCCCACATGGCCAGACCCAGGTCCCCGATCTTCACCTGCATGTTCTTGGTGACAAAGAAGTTGCCTGGAACGGGGGGGGGGTTGAGGTCAGAGAGAGAGAAAAGCCATGGTTAGGGAAGTGTTGGGGGTATATTTAGGGGGGCAGGTGGGTGGACCGTGGCCCCCTCCCACACCCTAAGCAGCCCTTCGTCCTGCTGGAAACACAGCAGGCCCTCGGGCCGCTGCCACGTTTTCCCCCACCAGAACCCTGGGCCTCCTGTCTTCGTCCAGCTGAGAAGAGGACCCCTGGAGCCACGCCATCACACCAAGCCACAACAACAACAACAACAACAACAACACAGGCTGCATGATCCCAGCCGGCTGGAGGCCGTTGCTCTCAACCCAAGCTGCTGGCTGGAGGCCCCAGAATAGAGGCGTGAGGTCACCCTGCAGGCATTTACTCTGCCCTGAGACAGGCGGCAGGGGTGTATTTTTAACTTCCCCCCCCGAAGGCCGCCTTGGCCCCTGCAGGTCCCAGGACCGAGGCTGAGCCGTGGGGGGGAGCAGTGGGTAGCTCTAGAGGGCCAGCCGGCCAGCCTGTCCTCCTCCCCTCACACACACACCTGCTTGCCTCCGGGGCCGGCCAAAGGCGCAGACAGGAGACAGGTGACCTGGACGGCTGCAGGAGCCCTCCCGGCCGTCAGGGCTGCCCCACATACACACATACCTGGTCCTTTGTTCAGGCCGAGGTTTACAGGGGTGTTCCCTGGCTGCCCAAACCCCCTCGGGAAGAAGGGCTTTCTCCCTCCTTTCTGTTTTCGGCAGCAAGTTCAACCCGGTGCCGGCTGGTGGGTTGCCATGGCCAGACAGCCGACTGCCCGGTGGGAGAGATGCCCCCTCCATTTCCCCTCGTCCCCCTGGGCACTGCCCCCCTCTGGGTCCCCACGTCTGCCAGCCTGCCTCCTCAATCCTGCCCCCCACCCCCTCTTCCCTGGGACCCTCGGCCACTTACTCAGCTTGAGGTCCCGGTGGATGATGCCCTGGCGGTGAAGGTACTGCAAGCCGGCAAGGACCTGCTTCAGGTAGAACCGGACCTCGGGTTCCGTCAGACTCTTCCGGGCTTTCAAGATGTGGGCCAAGGACTGGGATGGGGGGGGGAAGAGCAAAGCAGAGAGGAAGACGGCAGGGAGGCTTAGCCATTGCCTGGGGGGCCCCCAGAAAGGGCGGTCCCCACCCTGGCATCGCAAAGCCTGGGAGTCCAGAACATAAGAAGACAAAGGAGACCATGGTGGCTGAATGTCTGCCTACATCACACTTTGGCAGGGGGTACTACACCTGTTGAATGGTCTGCCTTTTCCCCACAGCGGGGGAAAACACCCGAAGTCAGCCCCTTTCCTCCAAGGCCAGAAGAATTCCTGGGGAAGGGAGGAAACCGGGGCCTCCCTGTGTTTGCCTCATTCCTTGAGCAAAAAGAAATAATTTGGCGCAAATCGGGATTCACCCGCTTCTGGGCCAAGCCTGGAGGTCTCGCCGCCCTCCTACCTTCCGGCTGCAATACTCCAGGACCAAGTAGGTGTTCTCCTTGTCAGCAAAATGCCGGTGAAAGCCCACGATGTGGCGGTGTTTGAGCTGGCGGTGCATTTCGGCCTCGTGCTCCACCTGCGTGTGAAGGAGAGCGGAGCATGGGGGAGAGGAAACAGAAGAGCGAGGTCTCCCACAGGTGCCCCCTGGCACTCTTGGGGGGGGCGAGAAGCAAGAGGAGAGGCCAAGGGGTGCCTGGGGGGGGTTTCCAGAGCCAACGAGAGCCCCACAAAAGCTGTGGGGTGGGAAGAGGAAGGACCATCCTCTGCTCCTCGGAGAAGCTCCCATCGCTACAGGCCTGGAGTGAAAGGACCAAAGATGGGAGGGGGGTGGTGGGGGTGTTGGAGTCTCCAGGGAGGAGGGAACCCCTCCCCTTTTGCAGGACACCCTCTGGCCCCACAGCCTGCCCACCCACCCCCCTCAGCCCCGCTCCGATCTGGCTCACTTGTCCTCGGCGGTCTGGCCTGGAGCCCCAGGACTGCGGGATGACCTTCACAGCATAGACTTTGTTGGTGGAGGTGTCGGTGAGCTTGTAGCACCTTCCGAAGGCACCCTGCAAGGAGGCAACCAAAAAAAAAGGGGACGGGGGGGCTTCTGGGGTGAGGGAGGCCAGGGCCCCCCCTCCCCCTCTCATGGCCTGCTTCAACAACCCCTTTCTCCCCAGGGCTGAGAGAGCGAGGGGTGCCCAGGAGGCAAGAGACCCGGGTGCCCAGTTTTGGAGGCAACCAAAAAAACAAGGGAACGGGGGGGCTTCTGGGGTGAGGGAGGCCAGGGCCCCCCTCCCCCTCTCATGGCCTGCTTCAACAACCCCTTTCTCCCCAGGGCTGAGAGAGCGAGGGGTGCCCAGGAGGCAAGAGACCCGGGTGCCCAGTTTTCCGGGGCTGGAAAAAAGGGGTGCCGGACTCCTGGGTCCTTTGGAAGACAGAGGGGCAGAGAGGAGGCATTGGGGGAGGCCCAAGGCTGCCCCCTCCCACTTTCATCGGGGAGAACCAGCCCCAGCGATGGCTTCGGTCGATGGATGAAAGAGTACAGGAGGTGCCAGAGCTCTTTGTTCAGGCTGATGAAGAATGCTGTGGGGTTCAAAAGCTGGCTTCTCTCCTCCTCCTCCTGAGCCCTCTACCTCTGACTGAAACCTCCTCAGGGACAGAGACCTCTCCTGGTGGGCTCTGCACCTTCCGGCCATGGGTTCAGAGGCCCAAACCTGCTGGCAATCTCCTAACGGTGTCTGGTACCATGCAGGAAAACCGGATCCTCCATGGGCCCTGGCCTTGGGGCAGGGGGACAAGGGAGGGGTGGCAGCTGCAGTACCTTGGGGGTTTTTTTAAGACGACACACACACCCTGCATGAGGCCGCCCCATGCACCCACCCCTACAAAAAGCCAGCAAAAAAGGGCAGGGGGGAGGGATGGGGGCTTGGGTTTCTGCCCCGAGCCCCTTCGGGGGGAGGGAAGGGGTAACCTTGAGCCACGTCTTCACCTGGTGACAGTTTCCCCCACTCCCACCCCATGGAAGGAGTCACCCCCCCCAGGTCTCCCTCCTCAGACCTCCCCCCCACATACACACATGCAGGCTTGGGTCCCTCTGGCCCCGACCCTCCATGAAGAAAATTTCTGTTCCAGCCATCATCCTCTCTGCTCCTCCCCCCTACCCCAGGCATCCTTGGGAGCGCCAGGATGCCTCTCGGAAGGGACCCCGCAACAAGGAAGGAGCCGAAGGGGAACCAAGAGTGGGGGGCAGGCAGGGAAGCGGTAGAAGCTGGGGAGGGGGGCTTGAGCCACAAAGCAGTTGCACCCACGGTACACGCGCAGCTTGGTGCACACACACACACACACGCACATGGAGGGGGAAGGCTGGCGAGGGCTCACCTTGCCCAGCAGCTGTTCCCACTTGTAGAGGGTCCCTGTGGCCGGGTCTTCGAGGAAGAATCTCCTCAGCGCCTCCCCGTCCCCTCTCCTGCTCCAGGCCGGCTTCCCCCTCCCCATGGCACCCCCCCACTCGCCTCTTCCCCCTTTGCAGACCCACTAAGACCAGGGGGTGGGGTGGGGTGGAGATCTTGGGGACCCTCCAGGACACCCCTCTCCTCCCCGTCCCGTTCAGCAGCCACGGAGGCAGAGACGGCTGCAGCTGCACGGAGGGCTGGCGAGTGTCTGGCCAAGGGGGCGCCCTGGCGGGGCCTTTTTATAGGGCAGAGGGAGGGGAAAGAGAGAGAGAGAGCAATCCCCCCACAGGGCTTCCCCTCCCCCCCCTCCCCCGAGCGGGTGTCAAGAGCGGCCAGTGCATAAATTAAACAAAATAAACCCACCAGGAGGAAGAAGAGGCTTCGGCACACAGGAGACAGCTGGGCTCTTCCCGTTCAGGAAAGCGCCCGAGAGGCACCTGATTCAAGACCCTTATGGAGGTGCCCTTGGCCGGGCTGGCTGCCTTCGGATGCCCGGCAAAGGGACCGAGCAGAGCCGGGGGTGTTCTAGTTGGAGGCCCAAAGGTGGGAGCGGCGGGACTACAGGGTCCACACAGCCTCACCACCTGCTGCCACCCGGGGGGGGGGAAGGCTAGGGTTGGAGGGAAGCTAATCTACAGATGAGCAATACACCAGCCTGGATAAAAATGCAAAATGTTTATTGGAGGGTCGTACAAAAGTTTCCAGTCCCAAAAAATGGATATATTACAAATCATTGAAAAAAGACATTTGGCATGCATTTCCACAGTAATAAAGCAAAGGCAGCTTCGAAACAGGGAAGTCGGGACCAGGGAGATGCCCCACCACGGCCCCCTTTCGGGTGGGCCAGGGGGAGCCTGGACAAGACCCGTCACTCTTTCTTGTTGGACCAGCAGCTCGTGTCTTGTTTGGAAAAAAAAAATGACATGTGCCCAAAAGGAACAAAGATACAACCACCTGCTACAAAAATAGAGTTGTAGTAAGGAGAGGGGCTTGTAGGAAAGCAAACCTCCTTGAGCTGCTTGCCAACTTTTTGAGGGCCTGCCAACTTTGGACAGCCTTCCACGAGGGGGGTGACCGGGGCCCCTTCGCCCAACTGCCCACTGGCTGGACTTCCCTGTTTCAAGGCTGCACCAACATCTGATAAATCATCGTTAAGCAAATGGGCTTAAAAGATTATAAAACCACAAGGTCGTTTCTTTAAAGTATAAAGCTAGATGTGTTTCCAAAGTATTATGTAGTAGTTCTGGGTCTCGGGGGCTGAGCCCAACCAGATCTCCCAGTTAAAACCCAGCGGGTCCCAGTGTCTGCTGCTTGACGGGCCACGGGCCTCTGGAGGTGGGGGGGGAAGGGAAAGGAGGGAAGACCAAGAACTACTCCCCCCCCCCAAAAAAAACAACCTCCTCCCCCAGGAGCAGGAGGACACCTGCCACTCCTTTCCTTGGTCAGGATCCATGTGTGACGAAAGCAGAGGGTCCTGCTTGAGAGAGAGAGAGAGAGAAATAAAGAGAGAAAGACAGAGAGGGAGGGAGAGCACGTGTGCATAGCTACGGGCCTTCCCAGTGTTCTTTCTCTCCAAAGACAACCTTCAGCCACTTGTTTTAAAAATAAAAGACTTGGGGGGGGGGAGGAGAGAAAGCAAAGTCACATTTTCAAAGGAAGAGGCCCAGACGGGCAAAAGTTCAGCCCCTGTCCTGGCCAGATGCACACAAAGATCCAGCGCCTAGGAGGAGAAATGGGAGGACAGTCCTCACCCCACCCCTTGTCCCGTGGCCCCTTCCCTTCCCTTGGGAGGGGCTGGCTCAGATTTTGCAGAAGTCCTCTCCGGGGGGGCGGAGTGAATAAGGTGGGAGCAGGGCAGGGGGTGTTATGGGGAGAACAGCTCAGTCCAGACCTCCCCCGCTGCCAGCTGGACCCAGTAGCACGTGTGCACATTCACAGCTTGGTCACCTTCACAGGAAGAAGACTGGCCTGTCTGGAAAAATCACAGCTTCAGCTCAGAAGCAGCCACGGGACCAAACCTCCCCCCACCCTTGCCCGTGGCCCCCCCAGAGCGGCTTTTGTATCAGGCCCGAGAAATGCAAGCGGGGCCTTCCTTGCCCTACATCGGCCTCATGGGTCTCCATGGGCCAGCCAGAAACACAGTGGGCAGACCAGTGTGGGGGAGAGCTACTCTGCCTGATCAAGGAATCTGCCTCCCCCGTCCGGGTTTTATGGGGCTTCTCTCCCCCCAGGCGGGTGCCCTCCAAAGACGGAAGCTTCTACAACACCTAAAACACTTCCAAGTTCATTCAACCAGGGCAGTGAAACACAGCGGGAGGGGGGGCGCCTTCATTCAAGCTGCCATGGGCCAAACGGCGGAGGGAGAAAACGCTCTGCGCCAGCCGCCGGCCCCCCAGGGCTCCGCTGGGGCAGTGGAGTTCTTCGGCCGAGGCCCACATCCTCGGGCACATGCAGGCCACCAGCCGGCTCCCGGGAAGGCAAACTGGCAGAGAGGCTTCACCAAGGGACCTCTTCGCCCAGCTTAAGACGTCGTGTGTGGGAGGGGGTGCCGGGGAGAAAGCTTAAGACCACAAACGCCTTCTACAGGGGTGACGGGGGCTGGAATTCAGCCGGGAACTGGACCTCACGGTCATAAGGAGGGCTTCAGCCAGGCGCGAGGGGGGGGGGGTTATGGCCCCTGTAATACACTTTGGCAATCAAGTCCAGAACAAGGAATGGCCAATGAGATTCTGAATCACAGACAAGTGGGATCCCAAACATCTTTCTGGACGCTTCCAGCAGGTCACCTGCTTGGGGGAGCCAAGGCTTCCTTGGCTTCCAAATGCTCATGCAGAGGACGGCGCTGGGAACTGCAAGGCGGCTGAGGCTCCCCCACCTGCTGCAAAAAAACCCAAAGAGAGAAGGAGACCTTTCCAGAAATCCACTGGCTTCCAATAGATCTCAAGTGGGGTTTTTCAGCCATCTCTGCTTTTTAGGGATCCAGAGTCCAAGAAGCCCCCAAAGGGCATCAGTACTCCATCTCTGCCAGGCCAAGAGCAGACACGCTCCTCCCCGAGGGATCGGCAGGAGGGGCGCCAGGGCAGGGGCAGAGCCAGGCGCAAAAGCCCCTCCAAGGAAGGCCGGCTGCTCAGGTCAGGCTGATTCAGTTCCCCTTTAAGACCCTGTGCCAAGGAATCAACAGCACTAAAACTTTTAAAAACAAAATGTTAAAAAAGCAATTTTAAAAAGCCCACAGGTGTGAAAAAATAAGTTTTCCGTGCCAACCGGCAACACAAAACAGGATCAGCCGGAGAAAAAAAGCAGAAGGAGGACTATTTGCCCTGGGAGGCTCCTTCTTCCTTCCTTCCTTCCTTCCTTCTCACATGACCGCACATCCTCGGGAGGTGGTCCTGGGATCCCCCTAAGGGAAGAAAGAGGAGGGAGGGGCTGTCAGGAAGGGAGGGCAGCCCACCAGCCAGAAGGAAGACCCAGCCAGGGGCTTTCATGCAAAGGAAGTTCTGCAAATGTGTCTTGGCAGTAGTACTGCTGCTTGCTCGCCACCCACCTACCCACTGCTTTGAGGGAAGAATCCTGCCCAGAAAAAAGCCCCCTCGCCGCCGCCTCCTCCGCCTCCTCCTCCTCCTGGCCAGCACTGAGCATACACACGCCCCCTTTGAGCCCTCTTCCTTCGTCTCACCTGCTGGTGGAAGAGATCTTCCTCCCCAAGCTCAGCGTCCTCTTCCTCCTCGTTCTCCTGCAGCACACTAGAAGAGGCTGCAGCGGTGGTGGCCACCTGGGTTAGGGTCCGCACAGCCACTTCCTAGAAGGAAGGGAAAGAGGGAGGAAGGGGGAGGACGCTTGTGAGCAAGGCTCCCCTCCCTCAAGGCAACCGGCTGGCAGCCTTTGCAAGGGGCAGCCCCCTTCCACGCCTCCCTGAGGGTGACTAGCCAGGACTGCCAGGCTCCTCCGGGGACGGGGGGGGGGGGGAACGAGGGGGGGGGAAGGGAAAAGGCGCCTTTGGCATCCGAGACTGGCCACGGGAAGCTCCTTGGAACGGCACTGGCAGGGAGAGTCTCCCAGTGGCCAGGAGGGGAGGAGCCGGTCCCTCCCTGACCAATCCCCAAAAACACTGACACCACCACCCCCCTGGCCCCTTGGCTCCTGCCCGTTCCCTCCCACATTCAGCATGGCGAGCGCCCCCCCCCCCCCCCCACCCACCAACCCC